TCATTAACCATCTGCAGGAACGCAGGTGGGACTCACAGGGCATTCCTGGCCCACCAGGATACACAGAAGCAATGGAGCTGGCCACGGGGTAGGCTGCAATGTTCAGGAACAGCATGTCTCTCCCCAGAGACTCTCTCACACTATAACCGGCCTGGGGTTCACTTCTCCCAGGTGAGCTCTCCAGAGTCTCTCCATGGCAGCTGTGCACCCACCGTGGCTGGATTCCACACACATAAGCCATGTCCAATACTGTTACTGAAGCCGATCACAGGAATTCACAAAGACCCCCCTCTCTTTCCATCCTTACTTCATTACTCTCCCTTCCCTCTCAACCCTCTCCCCTCCACACTGGATAAAAGGATTTTTAAATCTGATCAGTTTTCCAGGGAAGCAGAAATGTGATTTTATGCTATTCTTTAGCCTCACCTCACGGTTCCTCTACAGGGACCAACGTCTCTTAACACGGCTTTGTCCAGCTGAGCACGCTCTTCCTGAGGCTGAACCAAAAAAAAATCTTTTAGAGGGGTGCCTGGATGACTCAGTCAGCTAAGCATCTGACTCTCGATTTTGGCTCAGGTCATGATCTTGGGATCGTGGGACCGAGCCCTGCGTCGGGCTCGGGACTGGACATGAAGTCTGCTTAAGATTCTTTCTCTCCTTCTCCCTCTGCCCCTCCCCCCCCAAAAATAATGAAATAAAAAATAAAATCTTTTATAAGCAGTATTGTCTCTACCATAGACTTTAAATTTGTCACACCACCAATTTTGAAACACTGAAGCAGAGTCTCATCTCTCCTCAGACAGACTATAGAAGGGCAAAAGACTTCAAACTTCACCCAGAAGATTCCAATTGTGCCAGTCCAATGGACAAGTCAAATTATGCTTCCACATGGCAACGCCTCCTGTATAACTCCTCCCAGGCTGGTGGATAATGGCAAAGGACTGAACGCAAAGGCTCTTCCTGCTTCTTCATTCCCTAGCCTTTGTATTATACTGGGAGCACAGTGCTAGTTTCTTTTTTCTCTCCCTAAAGCTCATGAGATGAAGTTACTTTTTCAATTGGTTGGCTGAAATCACATCAGCTACCTTAAACCGTTAAGAGTTACACTCACACACACACACACACAATAAAAATGAAGTCAACTTCTTATAGAATTTTCTTTCTAAGGGAAGAATGTAAAACTCAGCATGTATTAACCAATGTGTCAGGTTGATGTAACATGCCAAATGCAACTGATGTTTGCTACGGGATCACTAAGATAATCTGTTAACCACCCACCCACAGCTACAAAAGACAAAACAAACAAGAAAACAAGATTAAAAAATAAAGTATGTGTATATCCAACACTCAGTTTAGTAACTCCAAAAGATACAAAGCCACTTAGGCAAAAGTAAATCACACATCTATTCAAGAGCGTTGTTAAATGGAAGGAATTATCCAAAGGGCTCCACCGCCGACTGAATAATTTTAATACAAAATGCCTAGCAAATCTCCCTATGCTGCCGACAAATCACCAGCTGAGGCAAATCCCAGATAATGAAACACTGTAAGAAGGGCTCTTTTTAATAATTTAGCCCATCAAGGAGTAAGTATCGATTCTTGTTTTCAGCAGAGGAGAGCGAGTTATCTTCGGCCTTACAGCTCAGTGACAACATCAGGGGATTTAATCACAGTGCCTTTCCTGCCATGCAATCCTTCAGCTGTCACCTTGGATTCTTTGTCGTTCTTCATCCATTTCTAGAGAAGCCCTGGGCTCATGGACGTGTCTTCCCTACTTAACCAACAGTAACCATAGCAGCATTTCAAGTTCTACAGATTAAACATATCTGTCAATTATCATTTGCCAGCTGCCTTTCTTTTAAATAAGTTTAACAATGCATCAGATATCTTTGTGCATTCCCATCTTGTTTATTAACGAATCTGTTCAATATCTTAACAGCAGATTGACATTCAATCACTATGGTGAGTGTGCCAATCTCTGGACATCTGTGGACATTTTTAATACATCCAAGTAGGCACTACTAACAAAGGAAAGCTGTCTAGGTATTAACCACCAATTCCCCATTCTAACACAGAGGGTCAGAAAGTCCCCAAACATTCAAAAAACAAAGTTTTTTTTTAACCAAGTAGTAAATTCAGTGGTAATATTAATTTAAGAGTATTCCTGAATCTTTATATACTAGAAATACATTTTTTAAAAAAAATTTTAGACTGAAATCAAGCCAATTGGTCTCTGATTCAAGTACAAATCAAACTGCCCTCATCCCTGACAGAATGTTCTGCACTCCATTTACACTACTCTCAAACTCCACTAATGTCATTCAATTTCCTTTCTGTTATCGTGGACAATTAGCCCCACCCTCCACCAAGTATGCGGGAGTAGGGAGTTGGGGTCAGCCACTTCTGCTGCTAATTTGCCTTTGGATGCAATTCCAAAGCATCCCTCCACAATCCTTTGGATCAAGTCACCTTACTAATTAGTCCCAAGGTTTTCTGGTTCAAGGTCATCACACACACACCTATTGCAGGACACCAAAGGCATTGTACAGCTGCCTTTTTAGTTCCTTCTGTTTTTCCTTCCAAACTATAAATCGTTACAAGGCCCTGGGGCAGTGCAGTGGCATTCTCCATTTGATTCAGGCATCAAGGAGAACTGTCACTTGTCAAGAGGCTGCAACCAAGGGCAGTAGCCTCATAACCAACAACACAACCCCCACTTTTCTGTTTTAAGAGTACAGCGAGTTTCCCTCTAAGAAAGATTCAAAGGGCAAAAAAAAACAGCATTAGAGACCAAACAGCAAATAAATTAAAAAAAAAACCATAATAAACCAGCTTTATATTACGTTAGCTGAAAAACAGATATGTGCGTGTGTACAAGGTTTATGCTATGTGAGTTCCACAAGCCCAGGAGAATTCAAACAGGTATGGAAACAAATATTTAAAATAAAATTTTTTTTCTGAGCTATATACTAATATCTAATCACTGAAACCATCATCAGGAATACTCTCCGGGTCCCACACCTCTTCCATTTCAGTGTGAGGTAGAAAACGGTGGAAAAATACCAGTCACTTCCCTCCGAAAAAAACCTATGTACAATAGGTCTTTCTGGCTGGTACTGGCCGATCTCCCCTTTCCCCATCAATGCTATACTTCGCGTTGATGGTCTCATTTGTCACATTTAATGTATTCCTTTAAAAAAAAAAATCCTTCACCTTATTTTTTTATAATATATATTTTTTCCTGTCTCCTAAATGAAGACAACTACCAATTCAATAATTAAGGAGCAACTTCTCAGAGTCAGGAACTGTTCCAGGCACTGTAGACAAATAGTTAGAATCACAACTCCTTCATTTACTCTCACCAGAAGGATAGACTGCAGTGGACCCTTGAACAATACAGGTGTACAGTGCGCAGGCCCACTTATATGCAGATCTCTTACAGTCCAATAATATAAATGTATTCTCTCTTCCTTATGATTTTCTTAATAATATCTTCTTTCTTCCTAGCTTACTTTACTGTAAGAATACAGTTTATAATACATATAACATACAAAATATATGGTAAGCAACTGTTCATGTTATTAGTTAGGCTGTTAAAAGTTTTGGGGGAGCTGAAAGTTACAGAGGGATTTTCTACTGTAGAGGGGGGCATCAGTGCCCCTAAACCCCACATTCTTCAAGGGTCAACTGTATATATACATGAAGTAGCCGGGGCACAATGTCAGGGACACTGGCTGGCTGTCTCTCTTGGAGAGGAGCAAGAGGTGGGGAAGTAGGAGAAGAGGGCTCATTTCTCTTTTCATTTCAATGTATATCTTAAATTTTTTTAATGTATTCATTTCCTGGGTTGTCTGTTTTATAATTTCAATTAACAGAGTTTAGAGATACATGATTTAATTCTGAATAAGTTTACATACAATCAAATAAATAAGCAGCACTACTATTGGTATTACAATGTAAGTAAATAAGATAAACCAAATGTGCCACACATTAATGCCCCATAAGGACAAAGTCACATCATGCAAACTTCATTTAACACGTACGGAGGTTTCTCAATTATTATAACAAAAATAAAAGCAAAAGAGCTGAATCATGTTGAGGAACCTGCTAGTGTAATCAAACATGCCATACACCATCCCCCAGCCCCCAATAATCTGGGCCATAAGCAATCAGTAACAAGTGGCTCTTTCATTTCAGCAAAACACAACCACCCATTCTATTAAATTAATGTTGGTAGTTAGAATTTCATTGGTTTTTTTTTTTTTTTAGTTTGGTTTGAATTAATTTATAAATTGTCTCTTAAAGCTGTAGTAGGGAAATAAACATGCAGATTATACTTAATTTTTGTGCTGAAGAAGGCAAGACATTAAGTGATAAGGGAGAAACAATTTTTTAAAATGCATAAGATGCTCAGGTTTGAGAAACATAAGAAGTCCTGGAACTGGTCTATATCCTGCAAAAGACACGATCAAATCTGCATTTACAACAGTTACTGAGGTGGAAGGCAGACTTCCATTTGCTAAAGCTGGCTGCCCATCAGAATCTCCTGGGGAGTGCTTGGAAAGACTATGGATTCCTGGGCCTCCTTCCAGAACTACTGAAATAATATTCTGGTTTTACAAGTGAGGAAACAGAGGGGAGGAGAGATTAAGTAACTTGATCACTAGTAAATGTTGCCAACATGAATCAAATCAAGACCACAATTTCAACAGTAAAAATGTGTATTTTTTTTAACTATGTTCATGATCTATTACTTATAAGCAGCTTTTCTTGCACTGGAGCATAAAGAGGGAACAAACACCATCACAGGTTTTCCCTCTTTCTACCAAAAAAAAAATTTGAAAATTTATATAGTCCTTTGTTGCTAAAACTGAAAAACACCCTGAAGGCTCAAACAGGCTCTTCCACCCCCACCTCTTGTTTCTTCCTTTCACTTTACTCAAAAATCCCACACTTGAATTAATGGTAGCTGAATTCTGATCTACTTTTCAAAGCAGAACAATTTAGCTTGAGGTTAAAAAAAAAAAAAAAACAGTGACATTCCACAATCACCACAGTGACTAGGCAAAAATAATCATTTTTAAGATTTTATTTATTTATTTGACAGAGAGAGAGAGACAGTGAGAGAGGAAATACAAAAGGGGGACTGGGAAAGGGAGAAGCAGGCTTCCTGCCAAGCAGGGAGCCCAATGTGGGGCTCGATCCCAGGACCCTGGGATCATGACCTGAGCCGAAGGCAGACGTTTAAGGACTGAGCCACCCAGGCGCCCTTGGCAAAAATAATTGTGAAGTGCTAATATTACTGGTTGAAAATTCGATCAAGAACATGATATTTACATGGCCCCAAAGTTTCTCCCTACAAATTACTTATTAATTACGAAGGAAAAGTTAGTAACTTATCCAAATAATCAAAGTTAACATCACTAATGTGACAAACTGATATCACAGTCTCTCTAATGTAAAGACCTCGGGACACAATACCACTAATAGTCTGGCCTACAATGCATAACCTAAATCTAATAAGCAGGAAACAGCAAACAACAACAACAAAAAAACTGGATTATACTCTTTAAAAACATGTCAATCTTACGAAAAGACCAAAAAAAAAAAAAAAAAAAGATTAAGACACTGTTCCAGATTAAAGGAGAGTTAAGAGACATGGTAACTAGGTATCAGTGTGATGCTGGTCTGGATACTTGGCCCCAAAGCCAAACTGCTGTGGAAGGCACTACTGGGACACACAGCAAAACGTGGATGTCTATAGATTAGATTAGTACTGTTATACTGTTAAATTTCCTGCTTTTGGTAACTATGCAATGGCTATATAAATAAACGTCCCTGTTCTTCTATAATACACATCTAACTATTTTAGAAGTAACAAGTCAAGATGTCTACATTTTACTCTCAGATTCAGAACAATGGAACAGAGAGCCCAGAAACAGACCCACATAAATACAGTCAACTGACCTTTGACAAAGGAGCAAAGGCAATACTATGGAGCAAAGACAGTTTTTCAACTACTGGTACTGAACAACTGGACAACCACATGCAAAAACAAAAAAAAGAAATCTAGACACAGTCTTTACATCCTTCACAAAAATCGACTTGAAATGGATCACAAACCTAAAATGTAAAATATAAAACTTCTAGAAGATAATGTAAAAAAAAAACTAGATGACCCAGAGTTTGGCAAGACTTTCTAAATTCAACACAAAGCACATAATCCACGACAGAAAGAACTGATAAATTAGACTTCATTAAAATTAAAAACTGTTCTGCAAAAGACTGCCAAGAAAAAAAAAAAGAGAAGCCTCAAGCTGGGAGAAAAGACCTACAAGACCTGTCCAAAATATGCAAAGAACCTTTAACACTCAACAACAAGAAAATAACCTGATTAAAAACTGAACCAGAGAACTTAATAGACACCTCACCAAAGAAGATATACAGATAGCAAATAAGCATGTAAAGAAAAGGAAAAAAATGCAAAACTCCACATCATATGTCATAGAGAAATGCAAATTAAAATAGCACTTAGATACCACTATAGACCTATCAGAATGGCCACAATCCAGAACACTGACAACACCAAATGTTGGCAAGAATGTGGAGCAACAGGAACTCTCAATGACTGGTGGGAATGCAGTATGATACTGCTACTCTGGAAAACAGTTTGGTTGTTTCTTTAAAAACTAAACATACTCTTACCATACAACCCAGTAGTCACCCTCCTTGGTACTTACCCAAAGGAGTTGAAAACATATCCAACACAAAAACCTGCACATGGATGTTAGAGCAGCTTTATTTATAATTGCTAAAACTTGGAAGAATGAAGATGTCTTTCAGTAGGTTAATGGATAAACCGTAGTACATCCAAACAATGAAATATTATTCAGCATGAAAAAGAAATAAGCTCCAAGCCATGAAAACACATGGAGACATAGGAGGTATGTGAGAAATTTCTGCACTTTTTGCTCAATTTTGTAGTGAACCTAAAACTGCTCTTAAAAGACTAAAGCCAACTGGGCACCTGGGTGGCTCAGTCGTTAAGTATCTGCCTTCAGCTCAGGTCACGATCCCAGAGTCCTGGGATCGAGCCCAGCATCGGGCTCCCTGCTCGATGGGCAGCCTGCTTCTCCCTCTCCACCACTTGTGCTCTCTTGCTCTCTCCCTCTCAAATACATAAAGTCTCAAAAAAAAGAAAAAAAGACTAAAGCCTATTTTTAAAAAAGAAGAAACAAGTACCTGATATTCAATCTAATTACACAACATGAAATCAAAGACAAAAACAGAAAATGCTCACTTCTAGGCATGAGTCATATTAATTTAGTATAATAATTTCTATAGACCCTGAAAAGGACTGATTAACCTTAGGTTACTACTTAAACTTCACTCCTGTACCTAAGAAGAATCTGGTACTCTACTGAGGGCCTTTATATTTATCAGAGCTGCTGTCACCAAAAGTACTATATGATATCCTAAGATGAGGGGTAACACTAAAAAAAAAGTTAAGCTAAACAAAACTGCAAGTTCTACTTCCATGTGCTGAAATTTCTTTGGCAATTTATATTAGTCAAATTAATTCTGGAGAATTTATAAAGCCTGAGAACTCCACATATTTGCAAGGTTAAAAGACCAACAGTGTCTGTAAGTAATAAAGGGTGATGCAGTAGTATTGGTGAAAGAAACGAAACTCAGTGAAACCTACAAGTAGTCCTTACCCCTCATATAGACCTATGGTTACAAAAAGACTGCTTAAATAGTAGGCAGTTTTATAAAACCATAAGGTTATTCAAATCTATGTTCTCTAAATGTGGCTCGATGCTCCTTTTGTTAAAAAAAAAAAAAAAAAAAAAGAGCAGATGAACATGACAGAAAGACAGCCCTTAAGAACAAACTAGCTGAAATTAGCCTTTGTGAGAGAACAGGATATGAAAACAACCGATCCAAGTGAAGGAATTTCTCTGGAAGCGGGGCATAAATGCTCTCTATTACTAATACTGGTCGGCTGGGTGTTTTAAGATTTTTTTTTTAAGCCTGTTACATTAAAATTCAATAGCTATTAATCACCTTTCATTTAGGGTAGTTGGATTAATTCCAGCATTTGTATCAGGATTTTTCTAAAAATTCAGTTGTTTTAACACCTTTCACTACAATCAAATATAAAAGACAATGGTTATTTTTGGCATTCTTAATGTCAACTGGGGACGCCAAGGAAATACTGAAAAAGGAGGATATCCTCAGCAACTCCTGCATATCTACACAAGCAACCAGATTAGAGTTCTTTATATGGAACAACTACATAAGAAACATAATCAGCATTTAAAACAGCATTTTATAATAAATGTTCATTTTTAATTATTAAATAGTATTGAAGCCCCAAGTATGAAAAATACCACTGTTAGAAATGATTCTTAAAAATGATAAATCCCTTACAAAGGCAAGAAATACTACTTTAACATTGGTATGAGTTATAGTCACAAAAGTTTAAACTAGATATTGAGGAAAGCGTTCTTAGCTTTTAAAGAAGTAAATGATGTATGGCACAGGCCGGCTATAAGACATCCTTTATGGGTCAAGGAAGGTAGCAAGGAGCAGTGGAAAGAGCACTCACTGACCAGATACACAGGAGACCCAGATTCTGGCCTAAGCAGCCCCTCATGAAGCAGGGATCTGGGGAAAGCCACTGGGCCCTAGCTTCCTGCTCTCTGTTAGTGGAGCACACCTGCGTAGATGGGTGGAATGGATTTACTCCAAGGGAAATGCAAAGTCAAATTTCTTACATGCATTAAGTTTTACCTGAAACAAACACACACAGATTAACAAACACAACAGACTACAGGAATTATTTTTCCAAATGTATGTAGATGTCATTAAATAAATAAAAAGGGAACTCAAAGAGCAGCTGTTTGTTAACGATGCATTTTTTTAAACAAAAGGATACTAAAAATATGACCACCACAAGAGCTAATGGGAAAACAAAATGAACTAAGAAGGGTTCTCACACCATACTGTTACCACCACTATCCATTCATTCAGGGTGAGGGCCAGCATGGGACACTCTCAGTGGCAGAACCCATCTGCTCTACCAAGCAAGTGAGCAGTAGGCCAGCTCAGGAGCTTTTCAAGTATAGTGGAGGCAAAGGTGGGCATCGCTGCAGGGACCATCCAGGAAATACCGAAGTCAGCCATGAGAGCAGTGGAGAGAATACACAAGGCCAGGGTGAGTTCCTGAGTTAAACCTCAGTCCTGACATTCACTCAAGGCAAGATTTTATACAATTGTAAACCTCAAATTTTCTCATCTGTAAAATGAAATAAATATCAAAAATTAAACTATGTGAAAAGAGTAGCACAGTGCCTGGGCACAAAGTAAATGCTCAATGTTAGTTTACTTCCTTAATAAACAGCTAGCTGATCTGAGGATTTAGATGCACTGCAGAGACTTTATAGTGCCACAGTTCTTAATTCAAATTTTTTCCCAACATTTTAGGAATCTACTGATTAGCATCCATGGTTGAAACGAATACTCTCTCCAGAAAAATTCACATACATATAAGACTCTGCAAGCAATTTCAGGAAGCTCATTGACCATGCTAAACTCAAGACTCCTCGGGGCCTATGGACCTCAGATCGAGAATGTCTAGAACACGAATAAATTATTTAAAACCTGAATTTGTATAATGAAAAACTATGCGACAACAGATAATGCTTAATGAATGCTTATTATATGCTTAATGCCATGCTAAGCAATTCAATGAATTATTTCATTATGCTTTGCAACAACCCTTGAGGTAGACAGTAGTGCTATGCCCATTTTATAAGTGAGAAAACTAAGTGTTAAGAAGGTTAATTAACGGGTCCCCTGTTACAAAGGAATGCATCATAAGAAAAACATGTTCTCTAAATAATACACCAAAAACAAAACCAGTAGTTCAAAAAAAATGATGGAAATAAAGTAGTTCAACCCACTATTACAGTCCTGTCTTATTTATCTGTGTTAGTCATTCAACAGAGGTCTTAAACATGCAAAAAGATAGGACTACAACATAAAAATATATAAATGAATTAGTCTAACCCTTGATCTCCTAGTAAGGAAGGGGTTAGGTGCCCCCAACAAGAATTCCAGGCTGCAGAGCCACATCCATGACAATGAAAATAAATATGCATTTTAAGTTTCCTTTAAATAGCTGTACCTTTCTGCTCTGGATAGAGTCTCTGTCCTTGCCACTGAAACCATCCACTACTGGGAGCACCTGGGGGGCGCGAGGGGGGGGGGGCACGCAGAGGGGAATCTCTGCCCAGTCTATAGGGAGAATGTGGCAAATGTTTTCTTTGCCATCTCACATCCCTCGCTACCCCTGAATTGCCAGCAAACACAACATTTCTTGCTTTAAAAAAAAAAAAAATCCAAGCTAACAGATTCTCCACAATAAGTAAAAAGGCTGCCTTTCCAAGCACAAATACTTTAAATACGAACAGATAAGTTAAAAACTTATAAAACTAAATCTATGAGTTCATGTCATCATTACTGTAGAAACACAAATCATATATACCTGAATATACAAAGAAAGTTAAATTATGATGCAGTTAGCACTACCCTATAAAATCTAAATTAACCAAAATAGTCTATTAGGGAAGACATCTGGTGTATCATGGCAAGAACTGTTAATGATATTGTCTGCAACCCTGTAATCAATTTTTTCCTCCCAGCAGCTCTCTCATTGCACTGTATTAGATCTGTGTGCCTGCAGAATTTATGAGAGCTCCACACATGGGGGGTAGCTTTGCCAACTGGATCTGATTCAGATCCAGCTCAAATGACTTTGGCAGCATGAAGCGTTGTTAAAGAACAATCAATACAGTTTGTTTTATGCAGCATCATCTTGACTCAAAGAAGATTTATTATCTTATTACAGAATCTTCTCAAACCTACATACGATGGTATCTGAGTATGCCACCAATCATGAACTTATCTAAATCCCCACTGAACACAATACTTCCACTGCTATAAATACATACATACATACATACATACATACATACTGGTCATCACTAATGCTAATACAAAAAGTTTACTAAAAATCAATGTTGTTATGAGCAAAATTTTAAATCCATTCAACAAATCCTGACTAGTGAGTATTGTGGTAAATGAAACAGTCTAACAATGACATCCACACTAAATGGAGAATAAAGTGAGAAAATATCAGCCTGAAAGATAAAATCATTTCTCAGATACATATGGAAACAAGATGATAACTGGTAAAGGCTGAAGTTTTTAAAGTAGGTAGTCAAGCTGAGACTCTGCTAATTTGTCCCTTATGATGTCAGTGTATCTCTCCAGGGATTAAAATTAGACTTTTATCCACTACACTGGGTTTTATCTTCCATTGTGAATGGTTATTATATCAAAAATTCCAAGGATTTTGTGAACCTTTTTTCTGGTCTAATTCTTGATAAATTACACCAGCAACTATTTGAACATGAAATTATTGTTGTGATGATATGTCATTCCTAGTTTTGTTTATGATTATTAATATCCTGTATCTCCACTGTCCCGGTCCTCTTCACTTCACACATGGGTGACAGCCCTCACCACGTAACTGGAGCTTCCACAGTCTGCCCCAACTCCACACTGCTACCCAATCAATCTTCTTGGAATAAAAAAGCCTACGAAGGCTTCTCTTCTGCCTATCACATAAAAATCTTCCCTTGTCTCAACTTTACAACGCTCTATGATCTGGGCCCACATTATATCCCAGCTCTGCTCCCACAACCCACTAACCTGTGCTCTTCATGGATGTCCTGGGGTCATCTTCTCTCAACTCTCAGCTTCACCGGGCCCACAGCCTACGTGGCTTACAGAGACAGGCTGACATGTACACCTGGAAGGCTCCTCCAGTCTCCCTGTCCACGTGTTACCGATGTATCAAAAACAAACCCAGCTCCTCAAAACCTGCCTACCTTCACAGAACTTTCCCAAGTGCTAGAGCCCATGTGAAGCACTCTCTTCTCCTAGTTTCAAGATATTATTTTTCTACACTGCAATTGAACAATTCATTATATATTGCCAGTATCTTGTATTATGCAAATGCATATGTGATGGCTATTCCCTGGTGTTATTTTCTAATTGAGTATGCACTTGAACCCCACAGTCAGATTACATACAAAAGAGAAAGGTCTTCAACTTCTTTCACGATTAACAGCAGTCAATCAGAACAATAAACACCTGTCTTTCAGAAAATCTTATAATTAAATCCTCATAAAGGGGGGAAAAAAAAGGAAGACAGGTATATATACAACTTTCATAAAAGGTGAGATATATCACACACAAATAACCCACATGGATCACTAACACCGGGCCCTGTGTTCTAGGGATAAAGCACCACAGACACTTCATCCTGCTGTACCTCACACACATCATTAGCACCAGGTACCAGAGACATTACCAGGGCACAGCTGAGAGCACCAGATCTAAACCCTAACTCAAGACTTTTGAAGTGTTTAATTCTGTATCTGGCATTGCAGAAAAGCCTAGCTACTCCTGAGCAATATTCTATAAAATGTCACCTGAGAGGACAGCATCCAAAATAGTTTAGATTCGTGGGTCATGAGTCCAAATGATGCTGGGGAAGTGCACATTCCACACGTGGACTCCAACTTACCCCCTTTTTCCCCATTTCAGTTGCCAACATCCATACTCGCTGCTGATTGCCAGCTCCTGCTCCTTGCAGCGGCCCAGCATGCTCTCTGCTGGCACCCAAATGCCCCACACCACCAAACCCCGCTGACTTCTGGAACTGTCCTAGAGGGGTAAGGCAAGTCCCGTATTTTGCTTCCTCTGTGCATGTACTTGTTACTCCTTTAAAAACACATACAATACAGCACATTTTTAAAGGGGCTCTGGGGAGGGAGGTAATATTCCTATTTTATACCCTATGGGATATAAAATATTGATAGCTTTTAAAAACGGGATTCTCCTTACCCCTACAGGCCCTCTCCCGGCTTCAGAAAGATGTTGTGGTGGCTGTGATGCCACCGGCAGAGAGCATGCTGGGGGGTCACACAAAGCAGGAGTTGGAGATCTGCAGCAGGCCTGGGAGTTGTGGACCTAAAAAAGAAAAGAGCTTTCAGTTAGCATGCCCAACGTCCCCTCCGGCCCTGGTTACTAGGGGCACGCAGCACACAAGCAGGAATCTGCACCATCCTTTAGCAGATGGCCTTTCAGAGAATTTGTTCTACTGCTGAAGTTAGCCTTTCTGCGTCAATCAGAGCTGTTTCCTTATTTCAGCAAGAACAAGCCTATGACCCTTCTGGCTCCACAGTGGAATCTGGGTCCTGTTGTAAAGCAGTATGGTGTGTGCCCCCAAAATAACCAAGTTAAGATGCGACACAGTGCCAAAGCACAGTGACAATGGCATGCTTTGCTTAGAATAAAAACAAAAAAGCAATGGTATCAGATAAACACAACTATAAAATGAACCACAAGTGGACAAACTGAGCTTTCAGAAGAGTTTCCAATGCGAGATGCTAGGGTCATAAGACAGATACTTAATAAGGAAATATTCAAGACATTAGGGGGTCAAAGAAAGACCCTATCATTTTCTCCAAGTCCTAGTTTAATTTTATAAAGCTAAAGGGAAGGTAAAAGACAAAGGCTTAATACCAGAGGAAAAAAAGACACCATTCAAATGAGCTTTAATTTTCTCACAACGCCCACCTGAACAGATACAAAACATAAAGCTCAAGAAAGGCATTATTTCTTTTAGGGGCAAAACCAGTTCTGGTATGTATCACATCTCTATTTTATTTTTCTTTTAAACTTTGAAAACATTTAAAAGCAGCAGCAGATTACAGAGCAACTTCTGAAAGCCAGCACTGTCCTTGTAAGAATCAAAAAGATACCTCAAATAACAGTTTGAGTGTGTTCCCTTTCAGATATTCTAGAGAGTACATAACACTTCCAAAAAACTAACCGATCCAATATTGTGTGGCTTTAAATGGACTAAAAACTCCATAAAATCCAGATACTTATATAAGAATCTCTGTTCTTAAAGGTGTTTAGAAATGACAGATAAGCAAACTTTTAAACCATTGTTTGGGAGCCTTATTACACTTAGTTTCTTTTGAATCACTAACAACCTCCTGTGATCCAAGATTTTCATATCATCCATTAATTACTTATTTTTCTATGTCTCTTTTAAAATAAACAAACAAAAACATGAATCCCAAGAAAATAAGCCAATATGGGGAATGTCGTCTTCACAATGGTTTTTTTCCTTTCGGTACAGATGGCCCTCTAGAGTGTACGCTGGGTGCCACACAGGACACTTCCCGTGCGGCCAATCTCTGGCTCCCACTGCCTCGGGGACAACACATGATGACACAAAGTGTTGTTCACAGCATAACCTTCACCACCGCACACCCCCTCCTCCCCATACCAGTGCTGCAGATTCCAAATCAAAGATTCAACTGTGCACTAGGATGTACAATATACTTAATATTTTTTACCACAATCATCCAATAAAAATGAATTGCTGGTTAATTTTTTGCACTAGGAATTCATTAATCAGATCATTCAAGTCCTTATTCATTCAGATCAAGAGTTTTAAACCAAAAAGACACTTAGTAAGGCATTTCAAATCACCTTGGCATTGTTTTAAATATGCAAAAGTTCAAAAAATTATTAAAACATTTTAAGTATTAAAAATACATTTTAAAACATATCACTGTTCTTATTTATCAATCAGAAAACATGGACAGTATCTGTTTCCCTGATTTTCTTTCAATCCTTCTAATGGGTTTTACTTGGACTATATTGAGTCCATTCTTAAAACACAAACACCCACATACATAAACAAATTACAAATGTCCAGTTCTAAGAAATCAAGTTTGAATAGTAAGACTTTACCAATATTCTTGCATAGCAGCTCTCTGCAAATATCAAATTGTCTCAAACTTTCTTAGGCTCCTTTTTTAGAAAAGATGAGAATGCCTAGTTTTCCACATTGAAAATATTTCACATAGAACAGGTTTATTAAACATTTTAGATATATATTTTATAGAACAGTATAATTAAACAAAACTCTTCCAGTGATTTCTTAGTCGTAAAATCCACATAGACCAGGAGAAAACGAATTACCCAACTTCACAGTAATTGTGAACCATTAAAACTTTAAATCCCACGTGGCCTATAATGACTATCAGTCATGTGAAAACAGCCTGCTGAGAAGCTGAGTAAATGGGGCCAATAAGATGCTATGAGATTATTTATTCCCAAAGCCTCATTGTGACTTTCACTTACGTGAATACCATCCCCTCCATTTATATCATGCAAAAAGGCGATGGTGATTCAAAATAACTTTCAACATGATTGCCCCATAACTGGCAGGAGGAATATCTAACAACATTTTGTCCATTAAACTTGGGGCTAAGGATTTCATCCCCCTCCTGCTTCTTAAAGGATTAAAAAAAAAAATTATAAACTTCAAATTTACATGCGAAAAGGACGTTTAGTCTCAGTGCATATATTTATTATTGGTGGCTTACTCCAAACAAACAGCATGGAGTAAGTCCAATACCCCATTAGAGTTTATTATAATGCTTACAGATAAGAACTAAGCAACCATGGCCTTTACTTGAAACAAAGGGAGGAAAAAAAGGTGTGGCCTCCAGAAGCACCAAATCAAGAACATGCATCTTTTCTTGACTTAGAAATCACCATATAAGAAGAGTGGTGTCACACTGACTCACTGACTCCTAACAGGTGAGAACAACTAAACTAGCGGAAAGGAACAACTCCTTGGGAAGAAATTATTTCAGTTGTACGTTCCATTATGTCTCTAAGTAATACTTAATTCCTCACTCTACAAACTAAAAACACTTGATAATGAACTTCATGCGTCTTACTTCATTATCCAACACTACACTCCAAGTCGCAAAGCTGTGTGTGGGTGGTACTGACCTTTTCCTAGGAAATGAACTAAAAGGAGAAAAGGGAAGTATGGAAAGAAATGTTCACTTCTGCAGGCCTAACTTGAGGGACCATCAAGAAGAGAAAAACAGCCACGTTTTACACAAAAATGAACCATCACACCATAAGGCATTTTTCCTATCCACCCGACTTCTCGGGAATGTTTACCTATAGACTAAGCCCTCGTTACTTTTGCCAAAAGGCAGTAATATCAAATATTCAAAATAGATTATAATGCCTAAAAAATGTTATGACTTTAGCTACACTCACGTAAATTTTCTGAAGAAAGTAAGAAATTGAGTTTTAATGTATTTTAAAAACAGATAATTGAAACCTATAAACTACTACACACTGCAGGCTAACCAAAATACTACACATTGTAAACTAAAGGTAAAGAAACATGTCTTTTTGGTTTGTTTAATAAACAGAAGGTTAATTTGTAGTTAATGCATCATATCAAATTACTATTAAAGTTTTTCTAAAACTTTATGCAGTGAATTTTTTCCACTGAAATGTTATTTCATTCAATATTCAATAAACATTTATTGTGGATCTTATACGGGCCAGGCAATGACCTAATAAGCACACAGTATACATCAGTGAATAACACAGGCATGATGTCTGCCCCTACAAAAGCTTAGACCCAGAGCACCAATGAAACATCAACATCACTACCATGTCATTCCATGGAACAGGCACTATGCATCCACTCTGTGGGCTTGATCTTTTCATCTAAAAACCTCCTACCTGCAAGGTAGGTGCTTTATTTATACCCCAACCTCATAGGTAAATAAAACAAGGTTAGGCGGGTTAAGCATCTTGCCCAAGGTAGTAAAAGATAGCAACTGAAGAACAGACCAACTGATGTCAAAGTCAAGCTCCCAACACATGGACTCTACCATCCCTCCTCTCAGTCCCCGAGTATCACCTCAAATTCTGAATTAGCCATACTCACACTAATGCAGACCCCTGTCCCACCCCGAGAAAAGTTTTCAATACAAGATTTACCTAACATTAAAATGAATGCCCATTTCCTTAATGTTTA